GGCGGTGGGTCGCGTCGGGCCGAGGCCCCGCCAAGATCGCTAAGACATGGAGGACGTTGGCGCCCAGTGAAGCTGGGTATACCAGACCCTGCCTGGTCGATAGTCAGTGGCTCAACGAGCGGCGCTGCGCGGCAGGCCTCTGCTCTCACTCGGTCTGCTCACTGTGTTCCAGCGAGTTGGGGGCGCATTGGCATAGGCACATGGGGCATCAAGATGTTTGGCCGTCTTTGACCCTGCAAGAGAAGCTGGGGCGCTTCAAGGACAAGGGCGACCCCATCACGATCAGGACTCTGCTAGAGAGGTTGTGGCTGCCAGAACCGCTCACGGGGTGGAGGCCGCCAGGTGACGACTTCCTGGTGCACGTGCAGTGGATCAAGGGCTACGACGAGGGCTTGCCGTTTGCAGAGCCCGACCTGTTCGCAGATGGAGCCTACATCGACGGTGGCGCCTGTGCAGGATGTGCCGTTATTGCGTTGCCTAGCGGCGGGCTATCACATCGACCCTGGGCCACGGTCTGCCACGCGTGCGTTGGCCTCCCCTTTGGCTGGTGCCTTGCAGTCCATTGGCGGCGGCGAGCTGTTGGCGCCTCTTCTGCTTCTCAAGAACACCATTCCACCAATGACAGCTCATGTTGGCTCTGGGTTTTGCGGTGAATGGCACCACGATTCGTGGGCCCATGGCCGCCACCAGCAGCGAGGCAGCCTGGGCGGAGCTGCGGGTTCGCGTCTGGCACGCAGTGCAGGATTTTCTTTTTCGGGGGGGGGGGGGGGGGGGGGGCAGGCGGCCTCGCAGAGTTGCCAAGGTCAGTGCGCACGCTTCTGCTCAGCACGCGCAATGGGGGCCAGGTCACGGCCAGAGCGCGCAGAGGCAACGTCGAAGCTGATCGGTGCGCCATGTTTATTGCTGCTCAAGTCGGCGCTGCCGACGCCATTCGGCAGATCATCCAGGCGAGGGAGGCCATGCTCGACGCCGCGTTCGTCTGGGTTTCGGTTGCTGGCGGCATGGCTGCCGATGGCAGAGCTGGCATCTCGGACGAGAAGGTCACGAAGCAGGCCAACAATATTCTGTTGTATCTCACGGCTCACGAAGTCATCGAGGTCCCGAATGGGGGCATTCACTGTTTGCGCTGCCTCAGGACCGCGTACAGCAGCAACATCAAAGCGCATTTCTGGGCCAAGCCCTGCGTGCCCAAGCCGTACGCCGCGTCGCGCTCTGGCAATACTTCGAAGAAGCGACCTGCTCGAGCAGCCTCGGCGACGGCGGCCGCGGCTGCGGCGGCCTTCGCCGCGTTGGCGCAGGCCCAGCATGAGGCGGCAGTTGCTGAGGCTACAGGCGACGGCAGGTCCGAGCTGCCGAAGGCCAAGGCTCTCAAGACAGCCCAACATAATATCGACTACCTGTTGTCGGCAGCGTCGGGAGCGAGCTCGAGCGGGTCTGTGCGCTCGACATCGGCTGAGAAAGATGTTGCGAGTGCTAGCGAGGCTCCTGTAGGCCCCGCTGCAGATGCCCCAGTCGGACCTTGCACGCGCGCTCCCGTGGGGCCCGCTGCTGAGGCCCCGTGTGGCCTGGGTTCGGCTGGCGGCGCGAACTTTGTGGTTGGGCCTGCCTCGCTTCCCCCCTCGGGGTCCCTCGGGTCTCCTCCAACTTGGTTGGCGTTAAAAATGGCCTGGGCATTTTTTCCCATTTCCAACTTTCCGCTCTTGGAGAGCTGGACATGATAAAAAAATGAAACATGTTTTTCTCATTGTTTGCCCCGCTGCAGAACCCCTGGGGGGGGGGCCCACGGCGGCGAGTGTGCGCCCGCCGATGTGTCCTGTTTTCGCAGTGCGGCCAGCAGTCCGGTTGCCTCGCAAGGTTGTGTTGTTTCGCCTCGCCGCTCGAGCTCGCCCGATCGGTCTTGGTCGGAGGCCCTCGATTGCCCCTCTGGCCCCAGCGTTGCGTCGTCGACCGCTGGTGATGGCACTGGGGTCCCAGGAGTGGCGAGCGGCGCGCATGTTCTCACGACCATCTTTGGAGATCGCATGTGCGCGCGCTGTCATTGCTATGCGAGAGTGATCGGAGGCAAGCAGGGGGGCTTGTCCGCATGATGCAAGCTACCAGAGAGCGCTCGTGGTTTGCAGCGTCGCCTCGAGAAGGTCGAAAGGATCAGGCTCGGGCTGCCGCCAAAGGCGGTGCAGCCGAAGGCGCATGCTCGGTGATGTTGTGGGGGCTTGGCCTGGCGGCGGCGAGTCGGCCCTTTTGGCTCGCTCGCCCCTTTGCCGCTCGACTCCCCTAGGCTTCCGCCTGCCGCCAGCCGCGGCCGCCAGTGTTGCGGCTGCTTGAACCAGAGCTAGTGCTGCGCGAGCCTGGTCACAGCTAAAAATTATCTTGGCAAAGCAACCGAACAGCGATGTGTATGAGCATATCTGGAATTATTCCCCTTTAGATTCATGTAGGATTCCTGTTGTAGAATTCTGGTGCACTCGGAGTCGCATTCGCATTCGCAATGGCCGTCGCATAGGCAACGGCAGTCCCAGTCGCAGTCGCAGTGGCAATGCAGGGCAAGCAAAATGTGGTACAGGAGTGGTGTTCTGGGAACACGAAGAACACGAAGTGGCCTACAGTTGGCTCCGGGCATTCAAAATGTGGCCCGGGAGTGGTGTTCTGGGAACACGAAGAACACGAATCGGCGACACGTAAGAGTGACCCTAGGCAAGAGTGCCCTTTGGTGCGCGGCCTTGGGGGGGCCCGTGGGGCCTGGAGCAACCGCGCAAGCCGAGGCCGTCGGATTGCATCAACGATCGGTGGGGCGCGCTTCGATAGATCCCTAGCGCCAGCAGGCACTTGCGGACTCCCGCCAATTCGTTCCGGCTGCCCCAGAACACCCGCCCGAGGGCTCTGCGAAGCCAGACGTAATCGGGCGCCACCGCGGAATGTTCTGGCACTGCCGGGCCGCATCGCGATGACGTCTGACCCGGTCCGGCGTCAAGGCCGAAACCGGGCCGAAACTTGGCCCCCCCGCGGCCGCAAATAATTTTCAATAGTAAAGAATTGACTTGTAAAGCGCGGAGTGCGAAAATATATTCAAAGTTCGTCAAAGTTAGTAAAATATAATCAAAGTTATTCCAGGACGATTTGGGACCAGTTCCAAAGCGGAGAGCACGTCGCCCGCTCGACTGCCCCCCCCTCGCCAAACGAAGCACGCGGCATAATACACCGTGCATGCGTTGCGATCGATTGCGACAGGCGCACCCTGAATCAAGCGCGCTCTGATGCGATCGCAGACTGGTGCAGCGTGCGCCGACACGAGGCCGAGCGCACTCCTCAACAAATCTGTCCGACACCATTAGGGCCAACACTAAAGGTCACTCTGGCCAAGGGTCACTCTTACGCGTAGCCGAACGAAGTGGCCTGCAGTTGGCTCCGGGCATTCAAAATGTGGCCCGGGAGTGGTGTTCTGGGAACACGAAGAACACAAAGCGGCCGACAATTGGCTCCGGGCATTCAAAATGTGGCCCGGAAGTCGTGTTCTGGGAGCACGAAGAACACGAAGTGGCCTACAGTTGGCTCCGGGCATTCAAAATGTGGCCCGGGAGTCGTGTTCTGGGAACACGAAGAACACGAAGTGGTGTACAGTTGGCTCCGGGCATTCAAAATCATGCCCAGGAAAAGAATTCTGGGAACTCGAAGACCACGAAATGCGTTACTGTTTGCTTAAAACGAGTTCCCCGGCATCCCCCCGGCATCCTCCCCCGGATCGCGCCCAGACCCCCCTGGGGCGTCATGATGCCCTCTTAACCACCTATCAGTCTTCGCTGTTAGGTAAAAAACCTCCTTATGTCCCCATACGCCCCCATAGGCTCCTATAGGCCCCCATAATGCCCCACAGGCCCCCATGGGCCACCTTGGCTTTCATAGGCCACACAGGCCCCCCTAGGCCCGTTTAGGCACATAAAAATCCTATAAGACCCCGTAAGCTCCCATAGGCCCCCATAGGCCCCCAGAGACCCCCAGAGGCCTCCTTTGGCCCTTAGGCTCTCTTGTGCTCTGCCCCCATGGGCCCCCTTAGGCCCCCTTAGGCCCCCTTGGGCCCCCTCAGGCGCCCAGGGGCCCCCCCATGGGCACCCCATAGGCCCCCATAGGCGCCCTTGTGCTCTCATAGGCCCCCTTCAGCCCCCCTCAGCCCCCATAGGCTCTCATAGGCCCCCATAGGCCCCCATGTGACCCCTTAGGCGTAGGCGCCCATATGCCCGCTTAGGCCTCCTTAGGGCCTCATAGGCCACCTTAGGCCGGCCCCCATAGGCCCCATAGGCCCCCGCCCCGAATCCCCGAACCGAGCCGGAATCGACTCGAGCCAGAACCGACTCGAACCGGAACCGCTCGTACCGTTCGGAAAACCAAAACCGATTCGAACGGGTACGAAACCCAAACCGAACCGGCCGAAACCAAACTGGCGTCAAACCGAACCGGCCAAGTGAAACCGAACTGGAATTGAAACCGGACCGAACCTGACTGAACCGGTCTCTCCATGCGTTTGGCGGGGGTAGGGGTGGGAGGTGGGGCGCAAACGAGACTCAACATCTTCCCTTCATGGGGCCATCGGAATGGTGCACTTGAGTGCTAACACCGACTCCTTCTGCCTCCTCCACCGCCCGCTGGTCCTGTTCGACCCTTTCCATCTCTCCATCGGCCCCCTCTTCAAACCTTTTTCAACCTCTCTCCACAGCCAAGCCCCCTCGCGTCGTGTACAACATCTCGACGGGCTTTGTTTTTGTAATATTATGCCTTTGAGATCCCTTTCTGGGCCTCGGGACCGCTGCTGGGAAAGCGGTGGGGACCCCTGGGGTCCACGCATGGAACAAATCGCGACGTCGGATGTCCGGGTCCTCACCGTCTTCCTCCTCCTCCTCATCATCATCTAGCCTCTGAGGTCCCACACCTTTGGGAGGCTCCAGGATCGCGTCTCCTCGGGGAATCGCTGCAAGCCATGTAGACCTGTGGGAACGGCGTAAGCCTCGGGCATCGCTGTGGGACCCTTCTGCAGAACCGTCCTTGAATGGGGCCAGCTGCTGCCGCCAGAGTGGCTCTTCGCCGTAGATGGATATCCTATGGAGTACAGTCGACCCGTATCATAAGGACGCACGATAAGGATGCAAGGGTCTGGGAAGGCCGTTTCGAAGCTTTTCGAGCGGGGCGCGGCCAACGAAAGGGGCCGAGGATGGACCGAGGAGACAAGGATGCGAGGGTACCCTTGGAAGGGTGCCCATCCCTACTATGCGGGTTGACTGTGAAGGTTGGGGGGCAGGAGAATGGGGATGGTAGTAGTCTTCCACTGCTTCGTGAGGAGGACGCAAAGGACGAAGAGGAAGCGAAGAAGGATTATAGGAGCGACTCCTCAGCATCTGCCTGTCGAACGGCATCGCGGCCAAGTCGAACCTTTCCCAAAAAGTCCCCTGATACTTGTACATCTCGAAAACATGGCCTCCCACACTGCTGCAATACTCCAGCGCACGCGTGTGTTCCATGACTTCCACCCTTGAAATGGCGTTTCCGAAGGTGAATGCGGGCTTGAACAGTTTGCAATTGTTCCAGTCTGGCTGTCCAATCTTCTGTATGCGCGTGAGCGCAAGCTCCAACTCCTCCCCGCTTTCACAAACAATCTTCATCTTTCCGTTTGCGGAGTATTTCCACGACCCGACAACTTGGCACTTGCGTTCAACCTTACGTTCGCCGTCAGATATGTAGGTCACGTCAGTTCTAAAGTCCTTCAACATCGGCTCGACATGAAATAGTTCCACCGTGAATATGGCTGAAAACCGCTCTCGAACTTGGTCGATCACTGAGACTTCCAACACATTAACCCGCATGTTGACCTTGACGGCACGAGACGTCTGGATCTTGGTTACCTTCCCCCTCCAATACTGGTTTACCCCTCCAGGTTTGGGCAAGCTTTCTTCGGGTATCGGATTTATTGGGCTGTGGCAGTACTTCTGACAAATATCAGACACTGCAGTTAACACGCTCCCCTGTACTGAATGCATCGTAGTCCTCCTTGCGACACATACTTCGCCTACCCGTGCAAAGAGGGAGGGGAGGAGGAGGAAGAGGAGGAGGAAGAGGAGGAGGATGCGGAGGGTGAAAATGAGGCGGGGGGTATCGCAATATCCGTCGCCTGCATCCACCATGTTCCCACGCTCCTCCGCATCTGGAAATATTGATAAATGCCCTGGCGGTTCGGCGATGTGTCACATTGAGCACCGGCCCCTCGAGCCACGCCAGTCATGACTTGATTGGCGAAACAGGAGCAGGCAGGATGAGGACGATGACGAGGCGGAGAGAGAGAGAGAGAGAGAGAGCCGAGCAGTGGGAAGAGAAGCGGGGGCTTCAATGATACACACACACACACACGTACACACACACGCACGCACGCACACACGCACGCACGCACACACACAAACACACACACACACACGCTCACACACAAAAACACACTTCTGGCGCCGCGGCCACGCGCGCAGCGTCGCGGCGGAGGAAGAAGTCGGGCTCAAGGACGCGCGCGGCCGGCCCGGATCACGCGGTGTGGGGACCGGGATCCACCCCACCAGTATGCGATCGACCAAGTCACTCGCGGGGGGGTCGCGAAGGGTGGAGGGAGGGCCTGGGGGGATGGGTGGGCGAGACGAGGCATGACAGTGCGCAGTGCGTGTCGACAAGGGGGCACAATCACCCACACACACACACACATACACACAATAAATATTCACAGGCACTTTTGGCGACAGAGGGCAAGCGCAAGCAACACACGCGCACACACTCACTTTTTCCTCCAACGCGGCAGTGTGTCATCATCGCCAGTATGTCATAACACGGGTCACGAAAACACACCTAAGCACATACGCACACACAAACACACTTGTGGTCGATCGCGGCCTCGCGCGCAACGTCGAGGCGGAGCAAGTCGAGCAGACGGCACGGAGCTCACGCGCGCGGCCAGGCCATCACCTGAGCATTTTCTGGGTGGAGGGCTCAGGGTGAAATCCATATACATCCGCCTTGTGATTCACCTTTTGCAGACTCAAGCCTCGAAGAGCCATCGACACTGCATTTCAGATTTCACCATGTGCCCGCCACCCGACGAAAATGTTTGGATCACACACACACACACACACGTACTCTGTTTTTGCCGCGGCCGCGCGCGCAGCAGCGAAGCGGAGCCGGGCTGGCGGCCGACCGCGGAAGGGGGCGCGCAGAAACGCGCCTCCGGCGCCCAGCTCTCGCAGCAGCAGGGGCGTGCCAGGCTCGCCCGCCGGGAGCCGCGCGGCACGATGCGAAGGGGTGGGGGCCGCGAGGGGGGGACGAGGGGGGGGGGGCCGACGGGGACGAGGGGGAAGCAAGAGGGGGAGGGGAAGCTAGGGGGGGCCACGTGGGAGCCCTACCCCTACCCCCCACGATCTCTCTCTGAGAGGGGGGGGGGGGTCACTCCCTGCGGGAGCTCCCGAGCAAAGTGGACCCCCCCCCCTCCCCCTCAGAAATCGTTGGGGGTAGGGGTAGGGTTCGCATGCGGCCCCCCAGAAGCGGAGGGGCGAGGCAGCGCGGTGGCGCGCGGGGCACCGGATGGGGATTGGCCTGTGGCTGACCCGCGGAGGGCAGGCAAGTGGCAGAGACAGTGGCAGAGACAGTGGCAGAGGCAGTGGCGAGCAGCGCACAGGGCTGGAGAGCAGAGCAGCACGAAAGAGGGCAGCGCCAGTGCCGTGCGCCCGCACGGCAGCGGGAGGGAACGGAGCAAGGTGGCGCAAGTTAGGGCACCCGCGCACACCTGTGCGCGGGTGGCTACGGCAGGTTCGTGTCGTGCCGACTTCGGCGTTGGTATTTGACGCCGCGGGGATCGTTCAACCTTGAACGATCGGCCGTTTCCGAAACGTCCAAATCGTTCCACATCGACCGATTCTGGGTCGCCCGCGGCGTTCAACGTTGAACGCCGCTGGCGGGGTCGTCGCCGCCGGTCGACACGACACGAACCTACCGTAGGCAGAGGGGCTGCGCTGGCGAGCCAAGCAGAACGGGGCAAAATCAAAGCGAATTCAGCCACCACGCAGGAGGGATGAGACAGGCCGACAAGGCGCCGGCCAGGGATAAAACACACACACACACACACACACACACACACACACACACACACACGCACACACACACACACACACACACACGTACACACACAAACACACACACACGCACATTAGAGACACATATACCACACGCAACTCACGTGCCGCGCACGCACACTTTCATGCGCAAGCACTGCGGTCCACTAGTGTGTCGAGAATTTCCGGAACGCGAGGCCTGCCTGGGAGAGGGTGGCCTGGGGTTCGGATCATGCTACGGCTGCTCTCGGGTCCTCCTAACCCCGCCGCTCGGGACAAAGGGCCTGCGACGGCCTTTCCTCGCAAGTTCAAGGCCGTGCGAGCGAGACAGCATGGATTCGTGTATGTCAGTACTGGCCAGCGCCGAGCGAAAAATTGCTTGGCACATTGGATGGGGCACTCAACGGCATGGCTGTGGAGGCGCACGCTAGAAAACGAGACACGTAGGAAAAAGACTGCATGACATTAAGCGGGGAGCTCGAAAACGCCGACTTTCCTGCAAAGCAACTGTTCGCCGCACCCATGCGCCACTGCTTCGCCACAGCCCCAGCAAAACAGCCCGGGCACCTGCTCACTCTTATCCGGAATTGCGGGGCTTACGTCTATGTTCGGCCTGTTCGGGCACCTCTCATTTTCGGCGTTCAACTATCCTGCGGGTGAAGCTTTAGACATGGTGACGGTGATGCTTTATTCGATGTTCTGCTTGGATCTGCAATCACAATTCTCTGAGGTCTGGTTCGCCCTTCTGACTAAGTTTGTGATTACTGGCGCCCTTTGGCGGTTGCGTGTGGCGAGCCACAACCTTGAGAGGAGGTGCCCGCGGGCGTCCAGAACCCTTTGCCTGGCAACACTGGCAAAAGACAGTCTGGGAATCACGTCCTCATCCCGTCCTCACTTATTCCCTCTCTCTCTGCTCTCCTCTCCTCTGCCAAATCATCTGCTCTAGATTGCATCTCATATTCCTGCTCTTGCTCCAGCGCCCGCGTCCATGTTGAAGCCAGCGGAGGTCGGTCGTGCGGTTCCCCTTCGTTTCCTGCGCGGCAACACTCGCGATCCAGACGCTCGCAACCATTCCCCTCCGATTCGCCTTCCTCAAGCGATGCGACCGATGCCAGGAACTCGCCGGCCCAACGTGCCAGACGCGAGTGTGAAAACGGGAATCGCATTCCACCTGAGGATGCGCGACAATGCTTGCATGTCCTGTCTCGGGGTCCTCTCTGGGCTGTCTTGGAGCCCTCTTTGGGCCTCTTAGGGCCACCTTGGGGGCCACGATGGGCTGAGACTTGGGGCCAAGCGGGTCGACTTCAATAAGCAATGGAAAATGCATTCAAAGCGAGTCCTCTCTAACAGTTTTTTTTTGCTGCGGGCTCCTTGGCAATCTTCGGAACATGTTCGGTCCTTCTTCGATGCATCTTGACCCGAATTAGCATGATATATGGCAAACCTCGATGCAACGGTGTGTAGCGCAGGGCGCGGCCCTATCGTCATAGACTGCGCGCCGCGGGGCAGTGCGGATAGGGAGCTTCGGAGAAAGCGTGCAGGGGCGCGATGAACTTCCTGTGGGCACGATCTGCGTGACGGGTGTGCCGAAATTCGCGCGGGCCCGCGTGCGGCCGCGACCACTGGGGCCGCAAGTCGAACTCCCTGTGTGCAACCATCTGTGTGAAAGGCGCGCCGACAGGGGCCTGCGCCCGCACGCGGGCACCCCGGCTCACGAGGTGGAGCTCCCTGCAGTGCACGATCTGCGCGATCGGCGTGCCGAAGGGGGCGCGGACCCGCCATGCGACTGTGCCCTCTGGGCCCGTGCGTGGAGCTCCCTGTGGGGCAAGATCTGCGTGAGCGGTGCGTCGAAATGGGTGCGGCGCCGCCATGCGGGCGCGCCCGTCGAGACCGTGGATAAAAGCCCCTGTGGGGCACGAGATGTTTGGAAATCGCGCCGACATGAACGTGGCGCCGCCATGTGGGGGCGCCCGCCGGTGCCACAGGTGAAGCTGCCCGTGAGGCACGATCCGTATAAGGGTGTGCCCAGGTGGGCGAGGCACCAGCATGCGGGCGTGCACAGTGGGGCCGCGTGTGTGGAGCTCCCTGAGAGGCGAGGTGTGCATAAATAGGCGCGGCGCCGCAATGCGGGCGCGCCCACTGGGGCCGTGGGTCAAATCCCTGTGGGCACGATCTACGTGAGGGTGAAAGCATGGCCGAGCACCCCGAGGGACGCGTGGAGCACAGCGGCAGGAGCAAACACGAGCGGAGCCTGCGTGCCGTCCACGTCCTGCACACATCACGGTGGCCGAGCTGCTTCCGCCTGCCCCACGGGCCAGAGGCGTGGGAAAATCTCCGGCAAGAGGTTCCGAATGCTTTTAATTCGAGTGCGCGTGGCGGCCCACGGCAAGTCGGGCAGGTGCGGGAGGAGGAGGAGGAGGAGGAGGAGGAGGAGGAGGAGGAGGAGGAGGAGGAGGAGGAGGAGGAGGAGGAGGAGGAGGAGGAGTAGGAGGAGGAGGAGGAGCAAGTTCCTGGCAAGGTCGGGCCACGGACGCCAGAGCTCCTGGGCACGCCCCCTGGGGGCCCCCAGAGCGCCCCAGGAGCGCCACAGGGAGGAGTCAAAGAGGTGGTAGGCCCCACGGCCTCAGGCCAAGAGCGTTTCAAGATGGCCCAAGTTGGTCCCACGACGGCCCCAGAGGCACCCAGGACGCCCAAGGAGGGCTTCAAGACGACCCCAAGAGAGGGCCCGAAGAGGCAACCTTCATTGATGTTGCTTGGGTTATTGG